AGTATAAAGCTGAGATCCAAGCCAGAAATGCGTCACAAAACCCCATCTAGACAGTGTATATGTCAAGTACTCCCAAGATGCTTTATAAATGTCCAGGAATAAAAGGAACCCTGGTATCCTGCGGCGATGCAAAATATGAATGAGATGGATGACTTTACAGATGTTATCAGCAGCTTGTCGTCCCGGAACGAAGCCAACCTGATCTCGAAGAATAAGTGAGAGTAGATACTTATTAATTCGAGTGCTCAGAACCTTTCCTAGAATCTTCAAGTCCACATTTAACAGAGAGATTGGTCTGGAAGCTTCTGGTTCAAAGGCATCTTCAGATTTCTTAGGGATCATAGTAATAAGCGCCTGAAGAGACTCCAAAGAAAGCCGGGAACCCTGCTTCAAAGAATTGAAAAAGGCCGTCAAGTGAGGAACCAGAACGGTGGCAATTTTTTTATAGTAGAGCCCAGAAAACCCATCTGGGCCTGGAGCCTTGGAGGCCTTCAAAGATTTGATGGCTTGATAAAGTTCAGATTCAGAGATATCCGCATTCAGGGCATCACAGGCTGCAATGGATAAAGAGGGTAGATGCAGCTAAGCGAAAAAACTATCAGCATGTTCAGCGACAAAAGTGTCAGATTTTTGGTAAAGAGAGGACAAAAAATCCGCAAATCTATGAGTAATCTTCACAGGGTCTGAGGTAAGGCCACCGCCCCACATTCGGAGTTGAACAGGTTTATGCTTGCGACCTAGCAAATTAAGTTTTTTGGCCAACATTGGCCCCGGTTTATTGGCGCATGTATAAAACCTATGTCTGGCCCAGCAAAAAGCCTTCTCAGCTCGTGTAGTGGAAAGAAGATCAAGTTCAGCAGCCACCACATCTTGAGCTTTCCTATTGGCTGTAGTCGGGCAGGATTTCCAAGTAGCGTCTACCACAGCCAATTTCGAGGTCAATTCCAACATCCTCTTCTCTCTGGCCCAATTCCTGGATGAGGCAATCTGAATCAAGTGACCTCTAATGGTGGCTTTGTGAGCCTCCCACAGAGTGACGGCTGAGGATAGAGAACCCACATTGTCCGTAAAATAGGATTGAATGTGCGAAAGAGCCTGGGAGCAAGAAGCCTGAGTGGTGCGCAGGGATTCATTGAGTCTCCACAGAAATGAGGGCAGAGCCATACCAGAAAGACACAGTGAAAAGATCAATGGGTCATGATCAGACCAGGGTGAGGTTGAGATGACAATCTTTTGAATTAAAGATAAATGTTGTACGGAAATGAAAACGTGATCTATTCGGCAAAAGCTCAGGTGTGGGGCCGAATAAAAAGTGTATTCCTGCGACGTAGGATGCATTTCCCGCCAGACATCAACCAAACCATAAGCTTGTAGCGTATCATGCAATTTAGATTCCTGAGAAAGGTCACAACGATCGGGTAACGACGATCGACAAAGGAATTAAGAGCAACATTCGAATCACCCAGCCAATAAGACAATACCACGTTGGTGGTGCGAAATCACCTTCAACAAGTGAGAAAACAAATTTGTGTTGAAATCTATTTGGTATGTAATAACCCACCAGGGTCACCTCCTGGTCCCAAAAGGTACCTTGGAGAAGCAAATAACTACCAGTGGGATCAGCTACTTCCAGGTTACAAGTAAACAGCAGATTGCGTCTAAAAGCAATCACCATGCCCCTATGCTTCTCAAGGGCTGAAGCAGAGAAAAAGGTTGGATAATGGTGAGAGAGGTAACGTGGCGGATTGAGAAAACCTTGTCTCCTGCAGACAGACTACGTCCACGTATTGGGACTTAAGATGATGGAACACTTTAGAACGCTTGGTCGGAGAATTAAACCATGGATATTTTGAGAAAAAAAATCTTCAAAGGTTTTAAAGCCATACTGAGTCAAGGGAATTCAGCTGCCAAAGTACGCTTGGAATATCGGTCCAATCCTCATATGCAACCTTACTCTGGGCTGCTCCGGATCCGTGAGAAAAGAGAAAAAAAAAAAAAACAGACAAGAAACAAGAGACAGAAGAAGAAAATGTACACTCTAAGGTACTGTAATGAAACCACAATCAGTGGAAATTGCGTCCCAACCGCAAGGACACACATAGGGGGCGGCTCTACCACCGGGCACATGGGTGCGTCAAACAACATAACACAAAAAGAACCTTCATGGGGAGGGGAAGAAAAAGGATAGAAAAAGGGGAAGGGAAGGGAGGAATGAAGAAAAAAAAAAAAAAAGGGGGGGGTAACATAACAAGCAAAAAAGGCAAAGTCAAGTACAGTACCTTAAGAAATGCATAATATGAAACCATAGTATATAAGGAAAATGTAAACATGTACTCAAACATATTAGAAATGAGGCATTCTAGGGTAACGGCCCCAGTAGATATGGCAGAGGACCACGAGCCAGGAGGTCTCCCGGTATATATAACCCCCCCAGGAAAAAAAAAAAAAGAAACCAAGGAGCCGGTGGGAGCCGAGGATCCACAAACAAAATCCTAGTATAACAGTAAAATTAGCGGATAGTAAAATTAGAGGATAGGAGACAAAAAAAAAAAAAACGAAAAAAAAAAAAAAAACTTACAGACATATCGCCTACCCCCCCCCCAAAAAAATTTCAACTCAAAGTTGGGCCGTGAGGAGAGTGGGGGCCGAGGAGCACCACCAGTACAGACCAGTATTGCATAGAAAAACATTTCAAGCTGTAAAACTGAAAACAAGCAACATATGAAAAGTTCGTCCAACAAGGGCCAGTCAGGGTTACCGCCCCATAAGAAACGTAAAGAGTCACGGCAATGGAGCAGGCCATCTGAAAAATGAAAAATCTTACCCATCCAACTGTACTCAACCTGGATCAGAGCGGGAGGATCCGGACAATGGAGGGGTACTAGGGAGGGAGTGTTTACGGCTGCCAACATTCTCCCATATATGCCCCAGCCGAGATGAAAGAGGATGGGAACCGGAGGTATCCCACGAGGGCAGAAGGTATAGCACCTACAGGGTCGACTTAGCCTCTTCCGGATTGTGCACAACATGGCTCCGACCTTGGTACGCGAACGGAAGCTTAAATGGAAAGCCCCATTGGTACTTGATGTGACAGTACAAGAGGACCGATGTGAAGGCTTTCATCTGTCGTCGTTTCTGGATGTTGGATAGTGCCAGATCCGCGAACAGCTGGTACGGATGACCTTGAAAGTGAAGATCCTGTTTGTCTTGTGCAGAGCAAAGGAGCGATTCTTTTGTACGGTAATAGGTGAATTTAATTATGATGTCCCTTGGAGAACCCTCAGACCTCCTCGGACCCAGGGCCCGATGGATGCGATCGAACTCCAGTCTATCGGTATCGCCGGATCCAACTCTTGAAAAAGCGCGGTAGCGGTGGATGTGAGGTCAACGATGGCTTTGAGCAGGCCACGCAGGCGAAGATTACCCCGACGGGACCTATTCTCAAAATCTTCCAGATGTATGAGAGCTGCGTCAAGCTCTCTTCTCAGATCTGAAAGGTCCTGTTCATGATTTTTGATCACCGCAGCTGCGGCGTCCATCTTATCTTCAAGAACATCAGTGTGGCTTCCCAATTCACAAATTTCCTTGGTGAGATGAGTCGCTAGTCTGGAGGTGGCTGTGTGAAGCTCCTGCTGCAGCATGGTCTTAAACCTGGCCAGGAGGCCTGCGTCCCGCAAGGGGGGCTGTGGGTGGTCCACGGCCCGCATGGAGGGCTGTGGGTGGTCTGCAGCCTGCAAGGAGGGCTGTGGGTGGTCTGCAAGGATGGCTGTGGATGGTCTGCGGCCCACAAGGAGGGATGTGTGTGGTCTGAGGCTCGCAAGGGTGGCTGTGGGATGTCTGCAGGAACATCAGGCAGGCTATCCAGTTCTGAGAGGGTGTCCAGGCCGTCTGGGAGTAGCGGCGGGGAAGCGGCGCAATTGAGGCCGGGGCTTATGCTGGCGAGTAGGCCGCATCGCGGGACCAGCTCGGCAGGCGGGCACTGGAAGCCGCGGACTTCTTCCCCATAGGTAGCGGGGGGGGGGTCTGCAGAGATAGAAGGTAAGGGTGGGGGACAGAACAAGCTCCCCAGGAGGCAGGCGAGGTGCGGAGGTGCCTGGCGGTGGAGGAGCGGGATCGGCAAGCAGACATCACCGTGCACTGCTCACGAGCGACCCCCAATTTGCTAGTAAATTCAAACACACACGGCAAGTGAATATAAATTGTTTATGGAAAGGAAAACACTGAAAGTATTTAAAACTTTTACACAATGGTGATGAAAATCTCAACATCGAGTAGCAGAAAATAAAGGCAAGTATAGGCACCAGAGTGTGCCTAGAACATACTTTTTTAATTTGGAAAGCTTTGCTTTAAGGTTCTTTTTAAAGTGATGTGATATTCTTCAGAAATCTCATCAGTTTCATGTAAAACTTTCACTTAAGTAACTTCAAAAGCTTTTTCTCACACACCATTAATAATTCAAGTTAAATATGTAATTTCACCATCAAGTGCTTACAGCACACATGAAAAGGAATAGAAAACTATAAAGACTTTTGTAATTTGTCCTAATAATTTCCTGTTGCATTCAATCTGCATTCCTTGCTATTCACTTTTTATTGTATAATGGCAACTTGAAAAGATAAAAATCAGTTCCTATTAATAAAAAAATCGGAAACAGATCCAGAGCACATTAAAACAAAACGAAGACTATAATGACTTTTTTTGGAATGTGCCATTTAATTGTGTTTTCCACATATCAATAAATACACAGGATGCATAATGACCACTATTCAGTTTCAGTACCTTTGACCTTTAATTAAGATCTTGAAATCCTTCCATGTCATAGTGAAAAACTAGAAAACACTAGAATAATTCACATTTATACTTTACTAGAACATGGATATTATTGGGAAGAGAGGGCACAACACACCAACTGTGGATAGCCAAAATAAAAGAAAGCAACTCCATGAACTAGATAAAGAGAAGCAGTTAGGGAACACCACAGGACACTGACAGAGATGCAGTTAGCTCCTTGCAGTCACTGCTGGCGGCTGTTCAGATTGCAGCTGTTTTCCAAGATATTCCCTGAAAGACACAAGGGATAGGAGTTAATAACCAGAACAGTGGTAGGGTGCACATTAGTTAAAGCAATGTCATTCTGGAAACGTTCCTGCTTAATTTCTTGACAATGGAATATAAGGGCGTCATTTAAAAAAGAATACTGGTTCTCAGTCTCTGCTTAATAAGTGGGTAGAGTCTTGCAAAACATATCTTTTTGCCGCTCTTAGCCATCAGTTCATACAGAAATTCTGGTGTATAGTGAGGATATAGCTTTAATTTAACAGAGCCAGTACTGCCAACTTGCATACAGCTGTTTCAGGCTTCTTAGCCCCCATCAATGCAAAACATGGCTTTACTAGCTCTATGGTGCAGGGCTTGCAAGTTCAGGGGAACAGTACAATTATTAAGGTCACGGTGAGCTGGTACAAAAGGAACCAAGCCCAACTCTAAAGTACAGTGGGATACAGCAATGCCTTGGTCGCTAAAATTGGGGAAAAGGAATGATTTTTATGACTGCACCCACTTGCCAATAAGCATGGACTGAGCTCCTTGTTTTTGGGTTTTGTGCTGGAAGTGAGACTGTAAATTTCTTCTGTTTTAGGAAGACAATGTTTTATCCAATGGTGTTTTAGAAGTGGTCTTTCGATTCCTCTTGTATCATCTCATCGCAGCCTCAATGGTTGTACTGTTCTGTTGCTGGTGAGTAACTTGAGACCTGACTTCGCACACTTCCCAGAAGCCTGCACACCTACCAAGCAGCAATGGTTATTTGTCTGTTGACAAATCACCCAGAATTATAATCAGCGGAAGTGATTGAGAGCTGTTCATACCATTGCACTGCATTAACATATGCGCTGGTGTGATGCAATGCCATTCATTTTTACTGGCACCCCAATGATCTATGCCAACAGACGAACTAAAACACAGCAATGCAGTACCATGCATTGCAGTGTTCTATTACAAAAAAATATTACTTGCACTTTTTTGGTGCCATACATGGCTCATGCAAATCAGGAACTACATATGTTAGTGCAACATACATACAGGCATGTTAAAGATGGGGAAGGAACTGCTTTAATGCAGAATGTTCAGGGATAAATGTATCTTTTTTTTTTTTTTTATCTCTGCCATTTTTTTCCTGTTTAGTGTAAAAGATAGTATATTGTGGCATTTTTCTTTAAATTGATTTTTTTTTTTCTCTTTATAGCTTAAGTAATAGCTAGAGAACCACCAAAGAAAAGTCGAAAGTAAATTTAATAAAAAAAAAAAAAAGAAGATAAACATAAAAATCAAAAAGCCATAAACAAAGGTCTTGTTCTGTTTTGAATGCGTCAATCAAGTGACTGCATAGATATCTGTGCACATATCGAATAAAAATATAAATTATAACATAACAATGTAATGAATTTTATAGTATCCAGAGCCATAAATATTTAAATTAACTAAAAAAAAAAACAAAACAAAACAGTATTGAACACAGTAATAATAAAAAAAGATAATAAAGTATGTGTGTGAATATGAAAATCTAAAAAATATAAGTGAAGAGAGACATTTTTAGAAGACCCTTTTAGTCTGTGTGATTGTGGAGGTGCACATTAGGTTCCCATTTAGGACGCTGTTTACTGAAAACCAATGATCACGTTTATAATGAAGTAAACTATGTCGGTGAAAAGCTACTTTGCAGAAATGTGCAATTATCAAAGTAAACTAACAGGAAACTGCTAGAAATATTCTCTGAATACCTAAATTTTAACTGCTGTGTGTTTCCTCTGGGGGGGGGGGGATTCAACCTCTATTTGTCTTGATGACTGGCCACTGTAACCAGGACTGAAAGTGAGTGAAAATCCAGACTTCGAAGTTGTCACTGGAATGAGGGAAAAACTTCCAATGGGGGCACTTTTTACTGACAGCCATCTAAGAAAGGATCTATCTTCCAATGGACAGATCTCCACTCATTCCAGTTGTGTCTTGTGACCTCAAGTAAAGAAAAACAATTTCTCTTAGGAGCCACAGACAGTAAAAAAAAACATACCTTACTATAAAAAAAGGTGGCACAGAGATCATTCAACAGGTTTGTAAGCCTCTATCCATAAACACTCACAACCACTTTCAATGCTTATACTTTTAATCACTCTCTAGGGAGGAGCTATTTGGTGATCCAGTCATAACAAGTAGGTCTACTCATCAAATATACCATTCTGTCCTCCAGTTTTCAGTCATACCATAACACTGGCTATGTGGTCTCTGCTGAAGTGTGGTGGGCTGATGCTGGACCAATCAGCATGTCTGCTAGAACACTGATCCTTACTTCCCTTTGAAAAAGGGTCACATAATGGAGCATAGTACGGTTGGAGAAGTAACACTGCTCTTAGGCAAGGGTAATTTTATAGACTATTTTTAACCTTTGATTTATATAATATAGTGAATGCCTATAGGTTTTTGTGTTTTGCTGCCATCATAAGTCGCTATAGAATTTTTGGGTAAAATGGATCAGAGTGTTTTAAGTTGACGTGTATGGAACAATGCATCCCCCTATGCATGTCCACACCTTTCAGAGTATATGTATAATCCACTTTATTTTAGAGAGTGGAGGTGTATGTACATTGTAGTCATAGAGATGCACCTTGACCTTCAAAAAATATAATATGCTGGACACCGTTGTCACTCCTGTCCATAACCTGTACATACTGTACATCCAATAATGGACAGGCTCTTAATAAAGTGCTGGGCAAGAGATAGCCCCTTTCTAATGAGAAATTCTCATTTAATATAACCATTACACATAATATTAACCCATTATTATTATTGAGGGGGGCACTCAGGCTGCTAGTCTGGTGGGATGCTGAGCTTTAATGTGTAGCTACAGACTCTATGCATGATTTTTAGGGCAGCCTGAGTAAAATAAAGATGGTGGTCCTCCTTCACCCCTGGTGAGAATTTTTAATTAGGAAGGGGGCTTTTTCTCTCGCACGTTATTAAGAGCCTGTCTATTATTGGATATATATATACACAGGTTATGAACAGGAGTGACATCTTTGTCCAGCATATTATGTTTTTGGAGATCAAGGTGCATCTCTAGGAGTACAAAGTACATGTACATACACATCTACTCTCTAAAATAAAGTGAATTATACATATACTTTGAAAGATGTGGACACGCATAGGGGGATGCATGCCAAACCTATTATGCTTCAATAGTGCTACTGATGCCACGGGTGCAGAGTTATAATCTAAACAAAAATCTTCTATGCTGTATGGGAACAATGTTGATTATAAATGCAGCTGTCCTACACTGCTGTGTTTAAACAAGTTTTATTACTCCCCGCCATTCAATGGAAATACATGGTCAGTGCCTAGTATACAATTGTTTTTCCTGAAACATCTAAAAGCGCATGCTGTCATGACCCCATTTCATTTGCTTCAGAGTGTAATGTGCCAGTAAGGTGCTTTTATGTCTAGATTTTGACATTTTACTTTCTAATACAGATATGTGATATTAGTGAGTCAATGATTTATGTACAGTATATTACTCATGTGTAAAAATGTCAATTTTATGGTTTAGTGGCTTATTAAATAGCATTGCTTTCCAAACTGCAGTCAACAGAAGAGAACACATTTTTTCTCTTTAGCTCCTAAATGTAATTTCTCAAATCGGAGGAACAATTCAGAAATGGCAAAGAATAATACAATTTTAAAAAACAAAAAAAAAAAAAAAAAAAATTATGAAACACTGTTTATAAAAAAAAGTGTACTAAAAATTTTATACAGACATTACAGAAAGTGCTGACAGTAGAACAGTTTTTCCCCATTTTGCAACTCCTCTCAAAACTCTTCTGTAAGCCATTAATGTACTATAATCCTTTTATAACCCTAAACTGGGAGTAAATGAATGCCAAGGAAAATGTGAGATAGAAAGGTTGGTATTTGATCTAAAGAATGTAGACAGATTTAAAACAGTTAGGGGGCTTTCATAGCATGATTGGTTGCTTGAAGTGAACACAGCTTCATTTCCTAAGCTCAGGGAAAATTCACTTTGCAGAGTGAACTTGCTGAGGGAACAATTTCAAATTTCTTTAGTAAATAAATCCCAAAGCATTTAGGGACGTGTCAGTCCCTAAAGACATAGAACTAAAGGCAAACCTTTTTTTCATTCTGGATAGAGTAAGGGAGGGTTTATTTTGCCATCTGTATCTCATTGGGGAGATTTTCTTTCACTTCCTCTCCCAAAGCCAAAACAGGACGTTAGAGGAAATCCCTAGTTGTCCCCACTATTCCGATTCGAGGGACAACCCAAAAATTGGGATTTTCTCTTACTTTCACTGATAATGGTAAACAGGACAAATAGAGAGGATGAAACACCCACACGGGGGCACAGGCAACAATAAAAACAGACAGGTGTTCAAATCCAAAAAATACTTTAAATTGACATGAGTGGTGTCATTAGGCAATCAGGAAAAAAATAAATAGTAGGTGCCCAGGAGTCTGGCAAGAGATTTAAAAAGATCACCAAAAGATTACAAATCAGTCAGTACACTGCAAGAAAAAGAATCTACAAGTGGCAAAACTTTTAAACAACTGCTAATTTGTCCAGGACTGACCAGTCAAGCAAATATAGCCCAAGAGCTGTTTGATGCTAAAAAGTATTTAAGAAGCCCAACATTTTGTAAATATTAGTTTGACAATGAACAAACAGGGAAAGACTAGGCCTTACAGAACAATGTGCTGAACGATCAATCAAATATAGCGTTTTTTGGTAAAAGAACAGTAGACATACTTTCTACAAGATGGAAACAGCACTTCAGAAATAGAACTTCATAACTGTGAAGCATGGAGGTGTAAACATAGTTTGGGGTTGCTTTGATGTTACAGGGTCTGGGCAGTACAGTCATCAAGTTAACTATACACTTTAATTGAACTGTAAAAAAAAAAAAAAAGATAATGGTGCGAAGCTTAAAGGGTTAAGGACTGCCTTAGTCAAAGTCCTGATTTGATTCCCATTGTGATTTTGTAAAGGGATTTTGAAA